GGAACTGGCTTTAAAGATAGAAATTTAGATTATTGTTTTTTAAGTGTCGAATTGTGTACAGATACACAGTGATTACAAAAAATTAGCGCCATAAAAAAAAAAAAATCTTACCAATCTTATGTTTCACAAAGCGTGACTTAACTAAATGGCATTAACCACTTACAAAGCAGCGTTTCATATTTCTAATTTTGTGGATTGGCATACCTGTCTCCTTCTAATTTTGGTATATCTGAGCAGCTAGATGAATCTTCTAGCCATGCTAGTGTTGGTCTCCTTGAGTCAACCCCTGAGCTCTGTTCTCCTGATAACATAAGTTGCTGCACAATAGCCGGATCATATGCATTGATCTCAAATTTTAAGTGGACCTGAGAAATAACAACAAAAACCAGAAGATGTCTTTGATTTAAATCAAGATATGCTTAATCAGTAATTAGTTAATAAAAACTGGTTGTTTATATTGTATACCTTCATAAGTTTGGAAACATCCCATATGCAGATCTTTCCTCGTTTTGTTGCAGCAGCTAGAAAATGAGGGCAACTTCCAGATCCAAAGCAGGCTATTCTGTCAGTGCCATCTGTGCAGGGAAATTGTGCTGGACTTGTTGCCAGTGTGACTGAAAGAGGTACATTCTGAGTGTGCTCACCCTTGACAAATGGGCAGTTTGGGGAATGTCTCTCATGTTCAGACCTTTTCATATTAAAAACAAACATAGCAAACATTGATTTCTTACTGTGAAAAATATACACATCATATACAAACTCAGGCCTCGAAGTGAAGCTGAAACTGTATTGCAGTCAATCATACAAAAGGGTTCTGGAGTTACTAATGCAGCTTTCCCTGCTGTTTCTCAATAGCAGACTGTCTTAAAGCCTTTGATCACTTAATGGATATTCAAATAGAGGAATCTATACACAGTACTCTCAATATAATTAGTACATTTTAAAAAATAATTTTCTATAGGCAGTAGCCCATCATGTCCTCATGAAGAAAAGCACAGATTAAATTCTACAGAACGTACAGTAGAATTCCAATGTTATGAGATATTATTATAAGTAACGTTGGTAAGATGAAGCAACGTCCTGTTTTTAGTTCTACATCCACACTTACAAAAATCAAAATTGAAAACAGTCCTGAATGACACATTGACCAAGAAGCATGGAAAAAACCCTTCTGATCTCAATATATACCTAAGGGAGAGACATGGCAAAGAGCAATTACACTACTACAAAATGTCTGGAAATGAACAAGGGAAAGGAGGAGACAAGGACTATGAAGATAATATTACAAAGGAAAGTTTCTAGCAAGTCAGGAATCTGATGTGTTCAAATAACAACTATAAATTACCAAATAATCAAGACAAAAATTACGTTAAGAACCCTTTTAAAATCAATATAAGGTCCTGCATTTCTGCCACTATGCACAATTTTAGCTGATTCAGGAAACTAGCAATGGATCTGGCAACCTCACATAAAAGTGCAAATATGCACTGCATGGCCATTGCAGTTTAAGAACTTAAAAGATGTGTTCTAGTCACAATCACACAGAAGATTGAGTTTACATCCCTGCAAAGAAATCTTGGCTGCCATCTTTGCCATGGAACAATTTGAAATGAAATAGCAAATCAGAATTAAGAAATAAAACCAACTACAATTTCTTGGGTTTAGCATTATACTGAAATTTGACATAGTACAGAGAATTATTTTGTGATTTGTCCCATGGAATCATTCTGGAAATACATTCTTGTCAGTGATACTCCCTAAACTCACCAGAAATCCCATAGAGATGATGTTGATCTTTGCCCTCCAAAGATTTCTTATCTCTTCAGCACAAAATTAAGTCTACTACTACCGTTAAACTTACCAAGGTTCATCTGTAGGCTCCCAGCATACCAAACACACACTACAGGTAAAGCACATGGCTCTGTCATCTCCTGATGAAGCAGGCTATAAAAATAAGAAGAAACGCTTGAAATTTATATAGCTATGTACTACGAAACACTTTAACTAGGTCATCAAGTCCTCTCCTTCCTCTAGTGGCATAGCAAACCACTACATCAAACGTATGAAAGGCCACAAATTACATACTGTAAAGTGGCAGTATTTCACGTTAAAAAAAAAGGATACATCACATTACTATAGAAGAGATTCAGAACCAACACCTGTGCAAGCCACTGGATAAAAACCACATAGACGTATAGCAGAATTCAGCATCATTGCTAAGACTTTTTCTTCTTTGGAAAAAGCTCACAAAGTTCAAAAAATTTAGAACCTCAGCAGAATAACTGTACATCCGCATGCTTGGAAAAACACAGGTTAAACAAGTATTTCCTATTATGCCTTCAATCTGCTGGAATATAAAGCATCCTATATCACTCCTCTGCAAAGAGCAGTTCTTACTAGCTGAAGTGACAGAGGAAAAAAAATGGAAATTTCCATTCTCTTAAAATTTAGCATTTTCATGACCACATTTCAAGTCACCAAGATATGCTTGGGAATATGGAGATGCAATTCTAACATTAATTCCCTGCATTCTCCTGCTGAAATCCTCCAAAAACTTTATCCACTTGGACCTATCAGGTTTTGTAGTTGACTTAATGAGGCAGACAATATTGATGTCAAATGATACGCACTGCCTAGCCATCATTATCTAAATCCATACCATACATAATTTTTTAATAGTAGAAATAATTTCAAAGAATGAAAAACAGAAATAAGCAAAAGTAGTGGAATAAAATGTTGAGGTTGTATTTATTCACTAAGCTTAATAATTTAGTAATGTGATCTAGGACCGATGTTTGTTACAATACAATTTAAGTCCCACTAGGAAAGTATGGTTAGAGAACTCCAAAGTCAAGCTTATTGCTTTTTTTGCTTTACTTATAATATAAAAAGTAAGGATATTTACTCAACAATCTAACAAGGAGAAGGAAGGACTCTATGTAATAACAACCAACTTCATCTTTATTATTGTTGTTTAACTCAGATCAATTTGATACTTAAAAGTGTTTTAGATGCTGAAGTTTAGAAACGTATTTTCTGTGATCTGTATAAAAAAAGAAGCAACCTCAAGGCATGGAAAAAACCTGATACTTGAAAAAGAAAAGAGCTGAATGACAAACTTCTTCATTATCGTTTTTGCACCATCAAAAAAAAAAAAAAAAAAAAAAAAAACTGTTTTTCCCCTGCTCCCCAAACCTTCCCTTTCACCTAGCGAACAAATACTAAGAACAACTAAACCTTTTACCTGGTGATAGAACCCAGCTTGAGCCATAGGATCTGGCTGTGCCCACCTATAACCCACATGAGGCCATGAAGTGAATGTCTCCCGCCTGTTAGCTTCACTATACATCAAAGACCTAGAAAGGTGAAAAATTCTACATTACCCAAAATTGCCACTTAGAATAAAAAAATTAAACTATTTATGAGATATTTTCAATGCTTTAGTAACGGTTAGAAATACCACAGATAGTTATCTACAACTTATACTTAAAATTATCATTAATGATTACAGAAAACTTACAAAGTTCTCTCACTTCGGTGCCTAAAGTACATCCTCAGCAAAAGACCGAAAGCAATACAACAACCTACGGGCCTTAAAACCAAGATAAATAAAATAAGCTTCCAAGTAGCTTATTTGCTCTAACTGCAGAAAAGCATCAGATATCCAAAGCTACTCTGCATTTAAAGCTGCTAGAGAGTTGTCTTTTTTAACGACTGCAAAAATTTGGGTTTATTAGTTGAACAAATATGAATATGCATATTTAAAAATACTCCAAAGCGATATTTTAGGCTTAACTGAATACATGGTACAAACCCCCCAACATTCACTCACTGCATACTATAATACTTAAAAATTATAAACTACCAAGTCAAAAAATATGAACTCCTCTGCAACTCAGCATCTACAGAGAAAAGAAGGTCCTCTCTTTTCCACCTTCACTCAGTGCATGTCCCTCATCTGAAATAGTACGTAAGAACCAACTATCAGCTTTTCTTTTTCCTTGACACAAGTTTGTTCTCCAGTATCACCCCAAGAACTAAGGCTGCTAGACGGAAAAGTGCCTCACTTCTTGTTTCTGCCCCTCAGTTTCAGGAGATTTTTGCTGTCTTTTCCTGTGGGAATGGATATACTAAACATTTGCTACCAAGGATGTAAACTATTCTTGCAACACCCACATAAGGGCTGTCTTAACTTGACATTATACCATCTTAAGAGACAGATCTCGGAGAGCTCTAAACAAAAATACAATATGGCGAGGTACAGGTAGACCTGGAGGCTTGGGGAGGGGAAGTAAGAGATGAAATCAATTTTATTAAATTATTTGACCTATAAGAAATTATAATATGCTTACAAAATAATATTTGTGTAGAAACTTTCAAGAAGGAATTAAATTTATAGACTTAGAAGATTTATCAGTATTCTAACTAGTCTTGGCTTATGAAGGTTAAAATAATGGATTACTCGCTTGTGTACACATTATCACTTGGATCAGAAAGAGATGAAGCAACAATCTGAGGTAAAATTTTCTCTGACCCCCCCAAACACATAGCAGGTGACTAGACAGTTCAGAAGTAGCATATATATATTCTGCAAAGGTAACAACTTCCTAAACTTCTAAAGCACAAGACATGGGCATAACTCTTTCTTGTATGAAGGAAAAGGAATTGATTTATGATGCAGCATAGTATGTATGCTCTTATCTTTGGTAGACAATGAGTGCTCTCTTTGCATTCAAAAGAGGCGTACATACGCTCTTAAAGCTATGCAGTTTCTGAACATCTCAACGTTGCAGTCTCAGTAAGGTTTCAGTACTAGTTTGAGTAAAGCCAGTAACTTAAGTAACTAGCCATATGGACTTGACTGTTCAGATAAAACCCATAATCAAACGTGATGAAGAGTAAAGCCTAGGTGAACTTATCACATTAATGTGTTACAATACTACTTACGGACCTATATTTAGGGCTGCAATCGTTACCTTTCTGAAAGTATATGTTGGGATTAAAAGCAAAGTGAATTCAGTTTGCCTGGCATTAAAGTCAGAATCCAAACAAAACAGTCTTGTGGCATCCATAAAGGTTTCCTCTAAGTTTAGTAATATGTACAGCGCATTGTGCATTAAACAGTTAATTAGCAGTATGTGTAAGAGCAAGAAAGTAGAGAATAGGACTAATTCCTTTGACAAATAAATTAAAGTCATCTAAGAGCTTATTCTGATATAACTAAGCGGTCAAATTCATCACTTATTTTGTCTTAATATACCTGTCCACAGATCGACCAGGTCCCACACCAAGTTCTGGTCGTGCGCTGGGTAAGAGGTAAGATAACCTATCCATCACAGAGGATGCTACAGGTAAGGCAGCAATATTTTGATTTATCTTCTTGAGTTCATTTACAATGGCACTGGCGACAGACTTCAAAACATGATGAGGAAGGTGGAACATAACCGTTGCCCACTAAATCAAGAAAAAAAGTGCCTAGTTTATATTTTAAAATTTTAACATCTAAACAATAAATAGATCACAAAAGTGTCAAAAGCAAAAACAAATGCAAGTCTTGCACCTTCTCTTGATTTCAGAAAATAATACAAGAACAGACACAAAAAGCGACAGGGACATAATGCAAGGAAAGTCAGTAACTTCAGATTTTAAGCTCAGTTGGGTTTATTAGTTGGGTTTATCAGCAAGAAACTAACCTTGTTTGTTCTCTTAACAAGTGAAAATTCACATAGAGGAACTAAGGAATACAGAATACATTCCATCCTCTTCAAACAAAATCCACCACACTAAGTCAAGCATTTTGTATGCTTCAATAATGGTAGCCAAGCAAGTTAGACTTGGGAATCCATGTTAGACAGCACAGAGATGAATTCTTACCTTTGCAACTTTATGATTTGCTGCTGTTTCATGTGAGGTATTTTTTAAACCATCCTTCAGTTGTGTGATGAATAAGTCATATCCCTCTGTGCTAGAAACATCTACTTTTTCTATGCAAGCAGATAACAGCTGCTGAGCCTAAAATGCAGATGTGCAAGAAAAGTTAGCATGCACGTTGAATAACTACAGACAAGAATTACACCTGTTTCATTACTCCGGGAAATGGAATTTGTCATATCCTTCTTTATCATGTATTATATCAGCATAATTCCCATAAAAGACCTAGAGTTGAGCAAGCAGCTCCAAATTTTACTTCGTAGGCCAATCAATGGATAAACTTCAGCAATAGTTACAGTAATTACTAGAAGTTCCCTCAACAGCAATATTACCAAATGTTAAACAAGTCAGTCATATAAACAATTAAAACAGAACATATATTAAAGCCAAGCAAAAAGGAGATATTTATTGCCCAATGCTTTCCCTTCAAAAGGATTCATTCAGCTTTAGGGACAAAAAGCCAGGGCAAGAACAAAGTCTTGACATTTTTCTGAGTAGCTTTGTATCTTAAAAAGAAGTAGATGATAATGAGAAAAACAACTTTGCAAGAAAATTAGAGATAAATTACTTACAATGCTAGTATAACGAAGCTGAAAAATGAGGCAGAAAAAAACGGGCCAATTTAGAATCTAGAAATTCTTAAAACTCAGAAATAACGCATCTGGAAAAGAACACTATTAACACCCATTTATAGACTTCTTTTCTTCCAAGTCCCATCTGTTTCTAGCTTGTCCCTCTGTCTGCTAATTTCATGTTGATAGGTAAGATTTAAAGGTACGCTTTATGTGCAAAGCACAGAGTATTTTGTATCTGTTGTTAGGTGGGCTAACATCTGGAAAAATGTTACACTTTCAAGTTACAAACACAGGGAAATATTTCCCAAGGGCAATGGCCAGCCAGTCCTTTAAACAGCCACTACTACTCCAAACAATATGGGCCAAATGGCCACTTGGTTACCTCCTTGGGGAGTACAGGGGAAGAAACACAGAAATAAGGCAAATCAGTCCCCTAGCTAAGGCTGTATCTGTTTCTCAGATTTCAGTAAAAAGATAATTACAATTCTTGTGGCATCTCATACTTCCCAAGTCTCTTGCAGATGATAGAAGAACAAGAGATAGATTATGGAAGTTCATAAATTTACAATGTTCTACGGGGAAGTAAAAACAGCATAGAGGCTGCACCATAACTTGTCAATGCTGCCGATCAGAAATGCATAAAGATGCACTGCATTACTGGCAGATCAATCATATAAAAAGACTACTTAAGTGCAAAAATTTGCAGAAAAGTTCTAGAGACTAACAAAAAATAAAGGCTTTTGCTTGGATAAAGGTTCTAGGCCTTCCTATGATGAAAGATGTGGACTGATGTGTTTGTATGATATTTGCTTAATACTTACTAAAATTTTCCGAGGTCTGGGTACATCCTCTTTAAAATCAAAAGTAAGAACTGAAGACTGCTAATGTTTTTTCCTCCCACCTCATCGATTTGGCCATGAACTCCCCAAATCTGTTCCTAATGAACTGTAATATTTCCCAATTTTTTTCTACAGGAAGGACCTTTTCAGATAAGTGCTCTATTTTAACCTTGAAATAAGGGTCTGTAAACTCTTTAGAACCAAAGAATCTTTAGCTAAAACTGACACAAACTTATAGGTTGTATTGAACCATGTGAGACTGCAGACCAGTGACAGCAAAACTTATGAAAGAAAATGCTGACCTCTGTCAGTCTCTGCATTCAGCCACACATACCAAGATTTTGCAGTTACCCACAAAGGGAGTAAAAATGACGCCAGTGGCAGCAAGCCTGAGGAACCTGGAAAGCTCTCTTGCTTTGAAGCAACATTTTATTGCTGTCACTCCTACTCAAGACAAGTAGTTAAAACCCTCACATATAACACACATTCTTGGTTCATAATAAGCACCTATTATTCAATACTCCAACAGCACATAAAAATTTTAAATCAATGCTCAGGATAAGTTTTTCTTGGTGGTGCATCATTCGATATGCACCAATATTATTCAATATTATTTCCCACAGAGATGAGTGGGAAGTGCTCTTTTCTCAGAGTGCTTTAAAGATTCAGAATCTGGATCTAGTAGTCCAGTTTTGGTTTTTCAACTGTAAGCACTATTCTAAATATTACCATTGGCAGATGCTCTATGCTTTTCCCAAACAAAGAATTAATTTCGCTTGTAATTAAAACTGTTGTACAGATTTACTTCCCAGGTCTATTACTTCATGACCACTACAAAGGTGAAAGCTACTTTCCTCATAACCAACTGCCTTAGAATGGAACCAATTGTTAGCTATCTTACATTATGCATTTGAAAATAAGAATGTACATGCTACCTCACCTAATAAATGCCATGCTAGCTGAAGGTAAACCAATGCAACAAAATCCTAAATGTTACACTCTAAGCAAAAATGTACACACTAGATTTTCTTAAAGTGATACTAAATGCTTGGTTGTATTGTCTCAACCACGAGGAATCGCTTTACAGCTAAGACAGTGCAAACATAAAAGGAAAGCCAGGTTTGCAGGGAAAAAAGTCTTTCATTAGGCCAACTGATTCCAGCATTAATTTTTCAGAAGTAGCAACACCATATTAGCTGATTTTAATTGTCCTTTTTTCCCTGAAAGCCTAAAACAAAAAAAATTCAAGGATGCCTAGCAGCCCAGACTGACTTCTAGAAATGCATATAGATTCCATACATAAGTACTGACAAAGCTCTGGAAATGAGTCATTATTTCTGGTCACTAAAAAGTTCTTTCGTCTTATTTGTTTGAGATACGAATAACTGCAAAAAGCTATTGCCCTATGACAGCTAATAACTAAGAAACTTTTCCATTCCATGCTGTTAAAATCACACCAGAAACTCAGGGTCAAACGTCTGGTTTCAGTATTTCTGACAGAGTTATTTACATACGCTTTTCCCCCCGCCCCTCCACATCTTACCTCTGTAACCGGCAATTCAAGCTGAACCACGTCATCTTGTTTTGAAACAGGCGTTTGCAGAGCTGTGTCTAACAGCAAGATGCCATTGAGATCTTTCCTACATCCTACTGCATAATCGTCCACAAAGATCACTTTATCCACAGCAGAAATATATTGACATTTCACCCGTCCACCTGGTTTAGCTATAAAGGGAAAGACAAAAAGCAAGATCAGATTAGGAAACAGCTTTTATAAAAGACCTTTAATATCTGTTCCGGAAAGTAATGTAACACTTCAGGAAAACCTTTACTTCTTGAGATGATCAAAACCTAGCATTTTAGCTACTACAACTTTCACCAAACTTTTATATTTCCTACATCAAAAAACAAACAATCAAAATCTATACATCCCATCAACAACTACAACCATTTCAATCCTATAATGGAAGCCATCATTCAAGTCCTGCTCCTACCAGGAGGCCTAAACTAGTGTTTTCAAGACTAATGTAGATGCCTGATGTACTTGATGTTAGCTGACAATCATTAATAAGAATGAAATTGTACAAATCAGCATGAAAATTAAGACAAAATTGCTAAACTACCATTAAGGCTGATTAACACCATTTCATCAAGCAAAACAATACTCAAACTTCTGAAAACTAAGTACAGCATATAACATGTGCCAATGCTATACGTGTTCCTTGAGACACTAAGGTAGCTTATTTCTGCTCAGCGCTGCACACATGATGTAACAGGTTAGAGAAGTTTGGTGGGGGTGGAGGAAGACTGTCAGCAGATAAATAAGGAAGGCTGTGGCAATGGATATTATCCCCAGAAATGTTCAATGTTACTGGACGTTATTATGTGTCTAAGGCTGGATGAATTGTAAAACTAAATCCATGTAATATGCTGTCTGTGTAGAAGGCAAATTGCTTTAATTCATGGAAAGTGTAGCTGCTGCTAGAGATGCAGATTGCATGTGAGTTATAAATATATGGACACATCATCCAATGGGCAAAGCTGAAATCGCTGGATTGTCAACATGAATCTCTTCTTGTTGCACAGGAATAGGAGTTTCACTAAATTTTGCATTAATCAAGTCCTGTCCCTGTTCTCCTCTTTCCTCAGACACTGGATACTGTTTTTATTACAAATAATTAAAAATCACCATTTAGGTAGCTAGCATACAGATAAAGCATCCAGATAAAGACAGCTACATAATTCTGTCGTCTTCACGCTTTGATATAGTTAAATGGAAATTAAGACTTCTCCAAATATAGGGCACATCAACCCAACTACATTGCATTTGTGGTATCCTCTCTTGAAACCTCAGGTCAAGAATAGTTGTCAGCTGCCTTTCTCACCAAAATTTTGGAAACAATGACTCATATACTCTCAAAATATAGGACATATGCCTTTGCCTGCATGAAGTATACTGCAATTGTAATCATTGCTGTAACAGTCAGAAACACTTCAAGAGCCCTGGAATCACTTAACAGTTGTGAAGTTGTTAGTCCTAGCTCAACAAAAAAGGGTCCTCTGAATGGCAAATCAATGAGTTTCAAACTGTATTTTTGCCAATACATTGGAGTTTCTCACACAAGACTTTCTACAGACAACACAGCTGCAGGCAAGGAAGTAAGTAATTCTACAGAAAAATAACAGTTTTGACAAAAATTCAAATACAAGTTTTAACATCTTTAAAAGTATTAGTTTCAACAATTATGTAAATAAACTGAAAGGTATCTCATGCCCTAAACTAGAAACCTCAGTAGATTCGCATGGTGTTTGCAGTCTATTCAGTGTGATCCAAGTGATGGATCACTACAGGACACTTTCTTTAACCTATCAACTTCTCTCCTCCTCCTTCCCAGAGAAAATGGGAAAAGCCGCTCACCTCTTCTGGCAGTGCCAACACCATGAACACTTTCTTTTGCACTTTCCTTGTTTCCTGTCAAGCACAGGAGTATGTTGACGCCTTATGACTAGGAGTTCAGCAGCCTGTAGAAGCCCCAGCCCTTGGGGCTTTCTAGGCTAGACCATTCTTATTTTTTCATTTCTGTAGTGAAGTTAGTGAAATGTCATGTCTAAACCACCAAATGGCTAACTAATATCCTCTGCATAAGTAGTCCCAATTTTTAGAAGCCAATGAAGATTACTAATGAGGTAGATAACATGCCTAATCAACATAATATTTCTGCTCCATTAAGAAACAAAACAAAAAGCTATAACTACAGCACAAGAAATATATTGCCTAACAGCTGTGATTCTCACTGTGCTGGTTAGTATTTTGGTTGGTTACATTGACAGGAAGACTTTGGCCAAACTACGTCTAGAAAGTTATTTACAGTTGCTGGTTGTATTTTATTGAAAGCACATAAAAACAAAACAAGCTTCTTTAGCCCAAGTTGATGGAGCTTCAAGGAAATAGTTCAATCAATACTTAGTGTCATTCCAACACCCTGGGAAACACATTCTGCAAGTGACTGGTTTACGCTTTGAATAGCCTCTGAACTGTTGACAAGCTATTTTGCAAACTTAGGAGTTTAATTTTGAAGTTCAGAGAACACATTTCAAGATGGTTCTACTACCAGTCACAAACTATATCATAGTTCACAGATGGCTGGCCATATGATTAAACAGTAGGTTGAGAACCAGGAAACTAAAGAATTTAGAAGTCATCACTGTAGAAGAAATGCCTAGAAAAGTTTAATCATCCTCAAAGCATTGGCAGAAGGGTCTTTTCTAACTCAGGATCAACATTTTACAATTCCTTTTACAATTTACAAAGCCAAAGGACTCCGACCAGTATCCTTTGAAAAACCTACTGGTGGCACTACAACATTATGTCCTGCCTGTCCAGCCTGGCCAAGTTTACTAGGAATAAGTAGTGATCTGCATCTTCATAAATCACAGTTCAAAAGTTTCACATAAACTCACTAAATTACTTAAGCCAGATCATCCAAACCCAATTGTTATTCTCATTTTAGCCCTAATTCCTTCAGCTGTAATTTATTTTGGGTGGTGAAAGGAGAAATAGTCATTCAAAGCTTTTAACAATTTTGCTTTTCAGTCTTGGCACAAGTGCATCATAGCTTCTCCCAATCTCTCTGGCTTATCTGTCTAGGATTAAAACCAAAACAACTCACAAAGAAGTCATTAAGCCTTTTGTCAGTTCCTATAAGGAAACCTGGCAGACTGCTAGCATGCTAGAAGTGCAAGCCCAATTATGGTATGACATCTGTAACATGACATTATGGTATGTCATTTATAACAACCTTAGAACTAGCAACCTGAGAACTTAAAACAAAAGCAAATAAACATCAGATTGCAGAAATGAAGAATTTGAGAAAAGGAACATCCCCCCTCCACCTTCTTAGTTTCAAACAATACAGAACAGAGATCAGCAATTTCCTGTGATCAAAATTTGACCTACAAAAAATATTACAGAAAACAAACTTGTTTGGAGAATACATAACAGTCTACGCAGCATCTATTGTGCCCCTTGTCTGCAGGCATTAAGATGAACCAAACTAATTAGGGAATTAGCCTTGCATTTCAAGAAGTAGAAGAATGAAAAAGCTTGTCTCCATTTCTCTGCTATAGATAGCTTTAGCCTCAAAGCTTTAGAGCTTAAGAGAAAGCGGCTGTCACCTGAATATGCATGGTCACCATCATGAAGAGATGTAGGTCAACGTTGATAGTAACATCTTTGATCTTTTCTAATATTGGAAAAAAGTTAATTCACCTTGAAAACTGCTAGCCAGGAATGGCACTAAAACATACCACAAAGTTAGTAATTCTCTTGACAAGAAGTTCCCGATGCGCAGCATGCAAAAAAACCAAATAGTTTCTAAATTACAGTAAACTAATACTTTTATCTGCAGCTATAAACTGAGAGTGGTAAACACATGCATCATAGCACTAATTCCATAAGCTAAGATCGAAGATCAATCAATTACCTAAAGGAACATCCATAACTTCGACCTATGAATGCGACTAAGTCTTCAGATTAAGAATTAAACTAAAATTTTTTGAAAAATAGAAACCCCATCAGCTCAGCAAAACACACACATTACGTGCATTGATAACAGTTTTTGCACTTTCAATTTAAACTGGAATATCCAAACAGTATCTCAGGACTCATTTCAAAATACTGGAACCATCGGAAGCTAAATGGATAAAGTTTCAGGAGATCAAAAGCCCTATCTATCCTATTAACTTTGTATCATTAGATTTGAACACCAATCTATTTAAAGGCAAGAGAAACCAAAAACTCAAGAGAAGGGAATGGGACAACTGCAGAAGTCCTTAAAATTTACTATTAGAATTAAAAACAAATTTTTAATTTTCCCCTTTCTATTGTGAAGTGTGGGTGTAAAGCTTCAAGTTTAGGAGATATTATCACTCCTGGTAATATGCTGTGTGAAATTCTCCTTTCCAGAAGCCAGGTTAGCAGACAGCAAAACTATCCTTTCCATTAGAGACAAAAATGCTTCTTGCCAGATCATTGCTCAGCTACTTCTCATACATTTTTCACATGTACTTGGGATTAAAAAAAAGGTACGTATCAGTTGTCCTCATTTGTTGCGAGGCAGGTGCCTTTCCTATTGCTACCATTTCACATAATCATAAAACCAACTGAAAAATACAGTTAGCAAGTATAACATCTCATTGTATGCTACCTAAGTAACACAAGTTTGCCAAGGCAAGCGTATCAGAACACTTGCAGTGTGAGGAAGTTTTACAGTACAAAAAAAAAAAAAACAAACAACTGTCTTTAACTTGCTGTCTTAACTTGCTATATTTGCAGGAAACTATTTTGAACTAATCCCACAAAAAATTATAGCTATGGATTAGTTGCAAAGGGTAACATTTTCACACAAAAGAGGACAAAAAGCAAACCACTGCAAGTCTGGTTTAAAAAGGAGAAAGTTGTCTCTAAATCGTTTTATATCAGTGGCTCCCAAAGGAAACAAAGACAGGGTGGTTATGAACATTTGGGAACACAGTAATGAGAAAACAGCTAAGGCATGGCCAAACCAGGCCATGACTGCTCATCATTACTGAGTTTATCAGTTATAGATTCTCTCTTATTCCTCTGCTTCTCCTCCTCACCTACATCAGTGGAAACTTCAGCAGTGCAGTTTTATCTTCCTGGTCTTTTGCTCTAAACATGACCTCAGCAAAACACTCTGCTGCCA